GATGACTTTCTGAGGGACCTACGCTAATGCTTAGCCCCAAAAGCAATGGTACCTGTGGGTATGAATTATGCCACACGTGGGAATAAATGCAACCTACCCTTAGTCCAACACGAACAGAACAACTCAGTCAGGCTTGATCAGATCTCTTGGGCACTTCTTGTATGAGTTGCTTTGTCCTTTGTGAGGACAGTGCTTACATTTGAATCTTTTGAAAGCATTTGTGCCATTCAGGAAATGGTGACACACTGCTGGCTCTTCTCAGGGGACAGGGGAAGTGGCTATCTTTGCTGTTGCCTTCTTCATGCACCTTGATCCTGAATGACACCTTAGGAGCAGGCCCATTGTGCTGGAGACTTATTACATGACTGAATTCTTCTCAGGAGGAAATTACAGAATGATGGTCAGACCCAAAATGTTGCAGGCATGTGATCTAAGTAGGTGGATTGCAGGAGCCCAAAGCTGCAGTCAAACAAGAGCCTCCTCAGAGGCTGCCTAATTCTGGAGGTACTTGGGAGGACCATCCCTTTCCAGCCTTAGAGCCTGTCAGGCACTTTAAATCTGCGCACATCCTGACCTTCCCTCACCTGAGCAGTTCAGTGCCTCACTCCTGCTCGAGTCTCACCAAGGAGTCTGCTGCCTCACCACAGCCAAATCTCGCAGCTATGCCTGAAAAAGCTTCCTACGCTGACAGTCCCATTGCCACAAAATATATAGGGACACAGAGCAGGAGAAGGCAACACTGATCATCGTACCTGGTCCCCCACCATCAGAGACAACCAGAACACGAGCAGCAACTCAGGGCATAAAGGACTTCAGTCACAAAAGCTTCCCATTGCTGACAAACATTAGACCTACAGAAAAAAGGCCAACATCCCAGATGGGATATGCCGCAGGTGGGAAAGAAAAAGTTTTTGAGGTCACACCAATGAGCTTCATTCCTGCAACATGAAGGACCATCATTTAACATGAAATTCTCAGGTGATTCAGATGGCTGCTCCTTCCAGGTCTGCCTTTCTAGCTGGCCACTGTCCCAGTGGTCACTATGGACTCAGAAAGCCTGACTCCCTACTGACAGCCCAGTGTGCAGGGCAGCTCTTACTGCACGGGTGTAACTGCCTGCTTCAGATCTCATTTCCGAGGACCAGACTCACGCAGTCTTGCCACTGTCACAGCTGAGCACTGGGATCGTCACACAGAACTCCCTGTTCAGAAGCTGCAAGCACAAAGCTGTGCACTAGTGCCTGAACAGCATGGAATGGCATCCAGCTGCTCAACAGAAATACCAGTCATCCCTATCAAATTAATCAAGGGAAATTTTCTTTCTGATCCCAGATTTGGTGATTAGTTTAACCTTGTGCATGTGAATAGAATACACCAAGGTGGTACTATATAAGGGCTTAAGATCTCAAATCCGTCAGCCTGTCCTAACGCAAACTTACTGAGATTATCTATGGCCTCTCCTGTGCTGCAGGGGAGGGCAGTGAAGAACAGGAAACCAAAGTTATACATCTTTGGGGGTGGAGAGGATAAAAGAGGCAGAATAGCCCTTTCCTTTCCAAACTTTGCTAATGATCAGCTGAAATCCTGAAATACAGGACTACTACAGTGGAAATAAAATGCAGATATATGTGAACACACAACAATCTAGTTTCAGTTCATCCTTTTGGAACACTAAGGCACTTACCATTTCTCATTCTGGGATCACCCTTTTATTTAGACTTTTTATCCTCAATATATACAATGCATATTCCTTGTTCGCTATCTTCTGAATACTTTTACTCTTCAGATGCTTATTTGCTGTCTACTAATTTCCTATTTAAATTAAGCATGACCACTTTATAACTGTTCAACCTTGTACCATGACTTAAATTCCTTCTTGCAATCTATTTATAGTCAACACTTCCACTCTCATACAGGTTTTCTTGCTTTCTTTCCATACCTTGTTGAAAAAGAGAACTGAAGAAAGCAAAACACATAGCACCAAGGAAAGCAAGAGCAGAACAACAAAATTGTTGTCCTGTGATAGGGACATTCTTCTGGGAGTGGGTGAGTGAGAACCTGGGCTGCAGGACCTGGGACCGCTTTTGTATTTTACAATAAACAGAGAACAAATAAAATGCCTGTACATATGCAGCTATTCTTCCGAGTGACTAAGCCTGAGCTCTGGGTTCAAACTTCAAATTTGTGTTGTGACCCTACATGCTATCTAAGCCTGTCCAGGAAGCAGGTGGCATTCTACTGCTATTTCCAGATACTTATAACTCAACAAGTAGCAGAGCAGAGCAATTTCCTGTCTGACTGAATTCAATGGGAACAAAACATGATTGGCAGATTCCTGTGCTTAGGAGCCAAGTTCCAGGTACTTGAGCTATCATTACACTTACAGTAGTAAATGAACATGCCCAGAATGTCTTTCTGACACTTGAGGTAAGTGAATAGAACAATTCATATTGATATTTTCAAACTTTTCAAAAATCTCCAGAGTGCAATGTATGCAAACTATTTCACTGAGATGTTCACAAGCCCATGTTGGTTCTTTAACTGTGTCTGGCACACGCATAAGTGTAAGTCCAGCCACTAGCAGTGAGCCTCAGGTACTGGTACCAGGGCCAATGCTGTTTAAACTCTTAATTGATAACCTGGAAGATAGGAGTAGTGCAAATTCTGAAAGTTTACAGACATACACCACTGGGGGAAGTGGTTGATAGAACAGAGGTTTGTACTGCCATTCAGAGAGACCTCGACAGAGCAGAAAAGGTCTTGGCAGTGCTGGCAGACACCAACTTGCATGCAAGCAACACAGCCTTGCACCAAACAAGGCCAACAGCCTCCAGAGCTGCACTACAAAGAGTGTTGCCAGCAGCCTGAGAGAGGTGATTTTCCACTCTGCTCAGCATTGGTGAGACATCTGGAGTGCCAGGTCCAGTCCTGGGCTTCCCAGTACAAGAGAGACATGGACATAGCAGTGAGTCCAGCAAACTGCCATAAAGATGATAAATGGATTATCAAAGTCCCGAGAACTGTGACTTTTTACTCTGGAGAAGATAAAGTTCAGGGAGATCTTATTAATGTGCATAAATATCTAATGGG